CTATTTATGAGGATACCTTGAATGGTTCCTGGCACCTAGAAGAAGCCCACTCAATGGTGATTGGATTGAATAGTTTCCATTCAAAATAAGAGAGGGCAGGACGCGGGCACGGGCATGAAGGCCACTTAAAACACTAAAATGGTAAAACAAAAAAATAAATTTCTGCCAATAAATTGACTAACTCTTCTGAAGAAAAATTCTCTCTTTTCTAAAGAGAGAATTTTCTCAGCTAGCAGGGCATAGATTTTTTGAAGTTACAACTTATTTCTTGGTGTGAATTGCCCTGATTAATGTAGCTTAGAATCACAGAACAAATTAAAAATATACAGTGAGATTGCTCTCCTTTATTTGAAATTTAAAAGGAATTTTTGGAGGTAATGCAAGCAAAAAGCTTAAGCAGAGCTGTACATTTTATACTGAAGGGTGCACATGTTGACATCCTGACTTTTTCGCTAAAGATTCTTCTGACTTCCATATGAAGCTCTCTATAACCCAGCTCCTGCCCTGGCTGACTCCTCACCCCGTTCCTTCACAGAAAACGTCGTGCAATCATCATCAGTCCTCCTCGATTCTCCAGCTGTCTACCTCAGGCCTTACTGCCCTCCAAGCCGTCTCCTCCAAATGCTTCCAAAATTGTTCTATGTTTTCATGGAAAGCACTTTTAACATCCATGAATTAAGGTTAGGGATTATATACATGCTTTCCTTTCAGTGAGTAAAAATTTCCCAACAAAATTCAATATATAATTATCTCTGCTTTGTAAAAATAGAAGAAATAACGAATTGAGATTATATTTTTCATGAAATACCAAGTCAAAATTCACATGCATGCAATCTTATTTTTATGTGCTCAGATTATTACCAAAACTAGTCGAAAAACATCCCTGCTTATTTCTGGACCTGTGTTTTATTCTTTTCAAATAAATGAAACAATAGGAAAGCTGATTTCCTTATTTAAAAAACCTAGGACCCAGCCATTTAAGGAAGCAGAGACTGATCCACATAAACAAGTAGAACTGAAAAACAGCAAATAATTCGCATTACAAAGTTATAATGTGCATTGCACGCCAGTATTTTTCCCTTGCGCATCCATTTGTGATGCTGAAATTCTCTCTCTCAATAAGTTTAATGATGTAAGTCAAGAAAGTATGGTATTGCTAGCATCGCCTCCTTATACTGCAGGGAATATTGCTCTAATTAACAAGACAGGGTTAAACCCCAGGTGCTGGCCCCGGTGGGAAGTGAGACCTCTAGTTTTGCATGAATGAATGTAACTTAATTTGTTGCTTCTTTTTGCACTCCTAGCTATCACTTGTGTTATCTTGCAGTGAAATATCACCCCTTCTTTAGAGAGAGAGAGAAGTCAAGTAAGTCAATGTTTTTTAATGTGAACGTGGTGGGGGCGGGGGGAGTGGGACAATGACGTCTGACCAGTCCCTGCGAATGTTGGCGGTGAGCTCAGAGCTCTGACAAGCAGCAACTAATGTAAAAAATAAGCACAGTTTGATGAAGGTATGCTTGGAAGAACATTCCTGTCCTCTCTACCCTCTCACGAGTGGTACTTTAGCACGAGGTGGAAGCTTCTTCTGCAGAGGATACAAACGATCTGGAATGGGCCCCAAGGGTGCAGGGGCTGAGGGGGAGGGGAGAATGGGCATCACCTCCAGTCTAGCAAGAGGGACTGCAACGGAATTACAGCTTGTAAAATAAGCCTCCATCAGTCTCCCAGGAGACAGCCGGCCTCAACTTGGGTGTTCCCCGCTTGTTAGCCTGTCATAATTGGTCTCTCCTCCCATCCCACGTTGTTGGTTTTCTGTGTGTGGCTTTTGGTGTGAGCGTGTTAGGTCATCAACAAATACAATGGCGGGAGGGGGTGAAGGGGGACACACATGATTGTTTTAGAGAATAAAGGAGAAAAGGGATAAGAGAGTGGGCAGGAAGGCTGTGAACAGAATGGGGAAGGTGGCCCAGGATTTAGGCTTCCGAAGCACCCCCTGGAGTGCTCCAGGGTAGGGGACTCTCTGGGAGTTTTGTTAAAGGGAGAAGAGGCCAGCCCGGAGCTGGGGACCCTGCTGAGCTCTGCTGGGAACATTCATCCATTCTACCCTATTTTTGTTTGCCTGTCTCTGGGGGTCCCTGTAACATCCTGCCCACATCCGGTGCCTCTCATCAAAAAAGAATTTTTCAAAAAATCCCAATCAGGATGATTTGCTCTAGAAAGGCTGCATGTGTGGAGCTGAAGACCTGAAGAACAGCCCAGGACCCTAGGAGTGGGGGTGGGGGTGGGGTGGGGGACGGCGTGCTGGTCACAGGCCTTCCTCCTTTTTTAAATCTATTGTTAAAATAGTTTCTCACTATCTTGTCCTTCCATCCCCCATCTCTTTTACCTCTTCTCAGAGGAAAGCCAGTCCTGGGGACAGAGGCTACAGTAAATTTCTTATTTGAAGTTGGGCATAAAGCCCAGAGTGGAGATGTCCTTGCATTTATCAAAGGTAGAAGATACAGTGCATTGTTTTCCCTCAGAAGGGGACAGATAAGGTCCCTAGACCCTGGAATCTTTATTTACCGTAAAAAAGAACATTTAACCAGGGAAGGAAACGGCAAGAAGTGTAATTAAGTCAAGTTGCAAATTTTGGGGATTTGATATTTTTTTCTTCTGTTTGTGTGTTTTAAAGTTTTACATTTTACTCGCCAACCCCTGGCTGGCCTGGTTGCCATGGTGCTGTTGCCAGGGCTGGTGTCTTCACTGTCCCTGACCCAGCAAAGCATTTCAGGTCTGAAACCTTGGGACAGCAAACTGGGGCTAATGGCACTACGGTGGTCGTGGGGGTGGAGGTGGTCTATTCTGTATAGCAGGACTTGATGGCTCCAACTTTACCGACATTAGCCAAAACCAGCTCATTGTAACTCCAGGGTCATGGTGTTTGGGAGGAAAATGTTTCCTTTCCTGCCATTTCTTGCAAAGTGAAGGTGCATAGTCAGAAAAGGCCTTGCTGCTTTTCTGAAACATTCCTGGTGTCTGCACATTCCAGATCTCATCTCGGCCACCCCTCCCTCCAAGCCAGGGCCACCAAAAGTGTGTAGAAGCCTGCACTCCCCCAGGAAAATGCGTTTCCCCAGGTAACTTAAGGTACCTCCTCGGGCTAACGCCTTCTCCTGTACCCCGTTGAGCCTTCTCCTCGCTTCTCTCCGCCCCACTCCCACATTAAAAGGCCCCTAAAGCGTTGAGGAGCGGCTTCTCTTTATGAAGCCAGGGAGAAGGCGGGCGATACGGATCGGGCGTTTAAATTGGCCATTTGGAAGATTACATCTCTTCGGCGAGGGTCTTTCTTTCAAAACTCGCACTGAATTAAGGGTCGTGGCTACTCCCTACATGGCTCTCAAAGGCAAGGCACCTTTTAACTCGGCCGTGGAGTGGCCTGGGAGAGGGGACCCGGAGCCATCAAAGGCTCGAGGGAAGGCCGTGGGGAGGCACCCGTCTAATGACAAGTAATTGACGGATTCGACGCCGCGCATTACCAGCGGAACGGGAGGCATTAATTATTTAAAAACGATTAGCCTTGCGGTGTGTCCTGCAGGCGTTCCATCTTGTTCAGGGAAGATAACCAGCCACGCCAGGCGAGCCGGGGCTCGGAGGGCTGCGGGCGCGCTCCCCAGCAGGCTTCGGGTGCGGTGGACACAGGCGCATAGCCCAAGGCACCGGGGAATAAGAGGAGGGGCTACCCAGCGTCCCCACACAGGGACGTGACCACATAACACTGACTCTGCTGAACAACGAAACCGATTTCTGCCCACTTGGGTTCGAGGTCTGGTTACTGCGGCGCAGATGGAAAAGCTTTCCAGTCGGGGGTGGCGGGCAATTTCAGTGTGCCAATTCCCAGTCGCGTCAGGCCAAAGACCCAGAGTAATAGATCCTGGCACCGGCCTCTCACAGTGCCTGCTACCCAGGTGTTTAAGGCAAAGACCCCAGGGAGAATGTGGGTCTGACGCGAGGGTGGGGATGGAGGGGGGGGGGTGAATTGGTAGACACCTGCGGAAATAGACCTTTATCATACCCTGCCCTTGAAAACCGAGAGTCCTGAGGTTTCAAGGGGCAGCAACAGAACTACTATTTTTCCGTGGTCCACGCCTTTCCGCAGGCGACGGAAAGACTCGACTGGTTCTGTTGCTTCCTCCTGAACTGCTGAGTGCAGGCCCGGCACGCCCAAGCGCGCTCCTGCCTCGGGCCAGCCGTGGAAGTGGGAATTCGGCGACTGGGTTGCAGGGAGAATGGGATGATAAATGGCCCCGCGTCTGGTTTCTGACTTTCTCTCCCGGACCTAGCTCATAACCCCAGAAGCTCCCCAACCTGCCTGCCGCCAATCACAGGCGCTTCCTGCAGCCAGAGCTAAGGTTCACTCGCCTCTTGGAAAGGCTCAGCCCCTCCCCTGGTCCTGCTCGATGCCTACCCCACCGCCTCTTCGGCCTGCTAGCGTCCGAGAAAGCTTTGAGACTGGACTCGAACCGCCGCGCGCCAAGGGGAGTGCGTCACCACGCTTGGGCCTCGGCCTCTCCAGACTCCCCTGCACCACGTACACCGTTTCCTACAGACCCCCGCCCTAGATTCTGAGGCCAAGGGCGTTTCCCACACCCCAGCCTTCACTGTCCTCCGGAAACACGTTGCTCTCAGATGGAACCCCCAGACCCGAGCTGCCGCAGGGGCCTGTGTGGCTTCCTCCGGGCCCTACCAACCTCCTCTGACTAAGCTCAGAGCCTGGGTTTGCAAGTCTACGATCCCTTATCCTTCCAAGTTCTGCATTTTTCCCAACCATCGGAAAAAAAGAAAAACCCAGCCCCCTGAGTCTCTGTCAGCTAAGCTTACCACGCGCCAAGCCCTCTCGGGCGTCTGAGCCCTTAAAAGGAGAAGCACTGGCTGGGGGAGGGGCTGCGCGCGGACAGGAGTGGGGTGCGGACGCTGCGGAGGGGAGCCCCGCGCGGCCCCCGGGTGGGCGCGCTCCCTACCTGTGGCAGCCGGCAGGCAGTCGGGCGGGAGGGTGGCGGAGCGTCCAGCGAGCGGAGGGAGGCGGCCGACTGCTCCGAGCCGAGGCATCCCTGCATTTATTTGAGCTCAAACCAAGCGACTGTTGACTTTAGCACACAAAGCAAAGATTTCACTGCCCGCTAGTTTAAAAATGAATATTTTACCAAGATATCGATCAGCGTTATAAAATTCAGTTAAGTACAATGGGATCCTGGCAAAAAAAAAAAAAAAAAAAAAAGAATAATAAAGGAGGGGGGAGGCAGTATAATATCTGTGCAAATTTGCTGAAGTGTGACGTGTCATGGAAAGTTTGCCCTCCCGGAATTCGGATCTAGAATGTTTTTTTCTGTTGTTTACAGACTTTGTTTATTCACAGATCATGGTTGCTTAAACCGGCGCGCAGGAGGCGTGGGGAAAAAAGGAAAAAAAGGAGGGGAGAGAACCGCTGCACCCCACAATGCGTAGAGTTGGGGAAAGCGGGCGGAGGCGATTTGTGAACTCGTAGTCTCGGAACTCGGGCTGGGAGAGGGAGTTAAGCGGGAGGGGGCATGAAAGACACAAGAAGCAGAGAAAAGCCTCCGAAAGCGCCTGCTCCCCGACATCCTTTTTATGTATTCGGGCAGAACTATATCTTATCGGCCCGGATCAGTGAAGGGGGGCGCGCTAAGTAGTTTAAAACGACCCTCGCACAATGGGCGTGCCATACGAAACATAGCAGGTTAGGGCAGCGCTTTCAGCCTCCATTGTCCCCCACTCGGCCCCCGGCCCTGCCTCTCGGCTCCTTCGCCACGGGAGCCTTTTATGTGATAATGAAACACATTTCAGGCCAGGCTCACGACGTGTGTGTCCTTGCCAGGGGGAGAGACGGCCTGATTGCTGGCTGTAGCCTCCGGATTCCCCCTCCCCAATTTCTCTTCCTTGTGTTCTTCGGGACAATGTGGCCAGTTAAGAAAGGGATTTGGAGGCGGCAGGGGGACAGTGGGGAGGGTGGAAGGCGGAGGCGACGCCAAACCCCCCTCAAGCGCCTGGGAAGGCCAGGCTTGTTGGGGGATAGCGGCAGGGTGGGGGATGGGGTGGCAGAGACCCCCCCCACCCCCACCCCGCACCAAAGGTAGCAAGTGAAGGCAGTCTCTAGGTCTGGGGCTTAGCTGGGACACTCCTGGTTTGGATGGTCTAGAAGCCCAAAGATCTAATCTTGGAAAAAGGATCCTGAGCTTAGAAACCTGAAGCAAAAAGTCCTGGCCTCGAGGCTTTCAGAGTGTTTTTACCCACCGCAAGCTAACTGCGCCCGGGAGCGGTTCCCGAGTCCTCCGGACCCGCGACGACGCTGATTCTGCCCTCTTCCAGCCAGCAGATGTCCCGGGCAAAACCAACGGCCAGACTCCCCTTTGCACTCTTGGGCTTGGCTTCCACTGCCGTTGGCCGCCTTTGAGGCCAGCAAGGTCGTCTGTGGGGAGAGGCAGCACGACGTCTAAGAATTCACTCTGGGTTTTTCTTTATACTTTTAGAGTGCCCTTGAAGGCTTACAAAATACTCGCATATCCCCTGGTCCCTGCAAACCTGGACTGCCAACCTTATCTAACTTACAGGAGGCTTTGCAAGGGCCTTGAGTTTTGGAGAAAGATGAGGAGCAAATGTGCAGACAGTGTCATCTCCACCACTGTAATTGTCGATCGGCTAGAAACACCTCACCTCCTTCTAACTCCCAAATATACCCTATTTTAAAAAACATACTTGGATTGTTACCCTGATTTATCCTTTCCAAACCAATTCCAGGAGATCTTCTAAACGTTTCCCTACACCAAGTGTCTCACCATTTCTGGGTTAGCAAGGTCTGCCACGGTTGTGCAAAATACCTGCTTGAGGGAGAAGGGCGGTAAAGGGTGGTGGTCTGTATACAGAGGAGGCTGGAGGATCCAGGTAGAGTCCCAGCTCCGCCACTGTTCACAGTGGTGAACAGAAATTGCTGCACCACAAATCTACAAGTTTGTTCTGGGCTCATTGACTTGAAGGGAGACTCAATATCATAAGTACAGCAAAAACATGTGACATCCAGGCTCCCTCCAGAGAGGCCAGCTGTGGGGCCCAAGAGAGCACAACACCAGGGCACGTTCACACAGCCAAGGTGGAAGGAAAATTGTGATATGAGGAGAGAGATTTTCTACTGGCTTTAAAATTAAACCTGCTGGAATGGTCTGCCTGGGATCTGTGAATTTCATTGTGTGTACAGCTAACCCCAAATTCAAAAAGTAACCATAAACAATATTGAGCTCCATTTAATGATGTGCTTGCTTTTGGTTTAGGAGACTGTGTACTGGTATCTGCAAATTTGAAGTGAAGTCGGAAAAATAAGATGGGTTGACCAGTGCAGGTGCGGACAGATGGACTGGTACGTGATAAAGCAAGTATAACGAAATGCTAATTGCAGAATCTCGGCAGGTCCAGGTGGAATGACTGTAAAATTCATTCCATTTTGGTAGGTCTGAAAATTTCAATAATAAAATATTGAGAAAACAGCAACACTCCCAGGCCCAAAATAAAATGCCACTTGCAACCAGTCAGAGTATGCCTCCCTCATTCTTGAAATAATTTCCAAGCCTGTTTATTTTTTAAGCCAAGTAAAGAAAAAAAAATCTGGAAGAAAAGATTCAAAGGATAAAACCGGGAATAATACTTTAATATAGATTTGTGGAACTATGGCCCTTGCAGCCAGAATACACATTTATAAGCCATAAATAAAGCACTCAGAAACCATAAATTAATCAGACCCGAGACCTGGATTTCACCGTGTCAAGATTGGGAATGCTTTTTTTTTCTTTTTCTTGGTCATTTACAACAGACCCTTACATTATTATTTTTTTTAATGTTTTTAAACAATAGTACAACCCTCTGGTTCTGTTAAAACTACATGGTTTTACACCAAGTCACTCACAAAAGTTTTTTTTTCTTTTTTTTAAAGTAAGACTTCCCTGCAGCAACAGCAATGGAGGAGAACAACAACACAAAAGATATCAGAATCTGCAGGTGCTTCAAGAAGCGGGGGTCTACACAGTAGTGGAAACAGGACACTTTTTTTTGACTTCATATTTTTTCCCGTTTTCCTCCTTATATAGAACGCGGGATATCAATGTGGCCCTCTGTTTGGGACGGAAGGGCTGCAGCGGGTGGGGGAGACTGCTGTCTTGGGGGGTTGAGGTGGGCGCGATGGATTTCTTCTCCCTTGCGTCTCTGCAACGCGGCCTCGCCAAAGTCTCGACTCCACTTGCTCTCTCACTTATCCTCGATCCGGGCTGCCAGAGTCAGCTGGGCCTGAAGCCGTCGTCTTCTTAAGAAGAGTTCATAATGGGCCGGGAGTACACCCCCTGGTAGTAGGAGGTATCTGCGGCCAGAGGGGAGGCGTCCAGGCCCGTTTTGTTCGTGACGGGGCCCATGGCCAGGCTGCCAGGCATGGGGGAGCCGTAGCCCGGGTAGTGCATCACCTGTTCATAGGCCTTGAGGTCCATTTTGTGGGGCTGGTGGTGGTGGTGGCTGTGGTGATGCTGCTGCTCCGAGGACATGAGGTTGTTGATGGAGAAGGGGTGGTTGAAGGCGTAGTGGTGCTCCGGCTTCAGGTGCGCCTCGGGCGGCAGGCCCGGGTGGTGGGGCGGGCCCAGCAGGTGGGCCGCGGCCTGCTGCTGCCCAGGAGAGGGCGCCGGCTCCGGGGGACTCAGCGCCGCCGCCGGCGTCCCCTTCAGCTCTCCCAGGCCCCCTCGCTTGTGCTCCTGGCACGGGGAGGCGCTCGAGTGAGGCGACTCGGTGCCCGCCGGAGTCTCGGAGGCCGGCCCGGCGGCCTCCCCCAGTTGCGCCTGCGAGGCCTGCGCCCCGGATGCCGCCTTCTTGCCACCACCCGCGGCGCCCGCGGCCTCCTTCAGCGCCAGCTGCTTCTCGCACTTGAAGCGCTTCTGCCGGCGCAGGTAGCAGCCGTTCTCGAACATGTTGCCCGAGTCGGGGTGCAGGGTCCAGAAGGAGCCCTTGCCCGGCTTGTCGGGGGAGCGGGGCACCTTCAGGAAGCAGTCGTTGAAGGACAGCGAGTGGCGGATGGAGTTCTGCCAGCGCTGCTGGTTCTGCCGGTAGAAGGGGAAGAGGTCCATGATCCACTGGTAGATCTCGCTCAGCGTCAGCATCTTGTTGGGGCTCTGCTGGATGGCCATGGTGATGAGCGAGATGTAGGAGTAGGGCGGCTTGGCGTGCGTGTAGCTGCGCCGGTAGGTCTTGGGGTCGCGCGCGCGGCTCAGGCCCGCCTGCCCGTACATGGGGCTCATGGAGTTCATGTTGGCGTAGGGGGCCAGGCCGCCCATGGCCCCGGCCGCCTGCCCCCCGAGCGGGCTCAGGCTGGGACTCAGGTGCGGCCCCATGCCCGCCACGCCGGCCGCCCCGGCGGAGCCACCCATGCCCGCCATGGCGCCCGCGCCGGGGGACATGCCTGCCAGGGACGGGCTCATGCCCGCGCCCACATACGACGACATGTTCATGGAGCCCGCGCTCATGTTGCCGGAGCCGCTGCCCATGGCGGCCGCCGACATGCTCATGTACGTGTTCATGCCGTTCATCCCCAGGCCAGCGTTCATGTTGCTCACGGAGGAGTAGCCCTGCGGACAGAGCCCCGAGAGGGAGGCGACAGCGTTAGCACCGCGGCTGGAGGGTGCCCAGACCTCCCACCCGCCGCCCAGGCCTCCGCCTCCGGGGAGGCCTCCGGGGAGCCCTTTCCTCCCCTGTGGCCCAGTCTCCGGACTCCGAGTCTGTTTCATCCAAGGAGAGCCACGATCGATCGCCCTGGGAAGGCTGCCTGAGCATATGGCCCGTTCTTAGCTCTTCTCCACCTCGCCCAGGTTCTAGAACAGGGGTCCCATGGAGTACTCCCAAGCCAGAACCCCAAATGCATTATCCTATGCCAGAGTCTCCCCAAACTCTCCTACCAGCATACTGAGCTGGCTCCGAGGCCCGAAGTCCCCGGACGCCACCTCCAGTCGCAGCAAGCAACCTGCGGGACACCGCGCTGGGCGCCTCGAGCTGCCTCCAGCGAAGACTGTTTCGGGCCCCTTCTGTCCGACCTCCCTCCCGGGACGCCCTCCCTT